ATTTAATTAATAAATTGTATAATAAATAACTATTATATATAATAACAAATAAATTTAATATTACTATTATTTATTTAGATATTTTAATTTTTTGGTTTTTAAAAAAAATATATTTATAATATATTTATTAGGATATTTATTTTTGGTGCACCCTGCACCGTGTGCGGGGTTCAGCTAGTTAATGTATCACGTGGTTTGACGATCATGTGTAAACGACATAGATTATCGTGTAACACCCCTGTTCACACCCCGCATTTTTAATTATAGTAACGGTATATAGAACCCAGATCATCGGCAAAAAATTTAATTGATGCGGAGTTAATTTTAAGTGACACCGTTGTATTGTTTGCCTAATTCAGTAATTATATCTGAAAATTTAATAAATAAAGAAGCATAACAAAAATAACATCTTTCACTTGGCGTAGTAGTCAAATAAATACACAAAAGTGTAGCCGATATTTTAGTTTGTTTATTAAAGAACGATTAGATTTGTTTGTTCGCTGCAAAAATAAACACTTTTTATATTGGAACATCGTTTGTCTGTCAGCACAACTTGTACTGGAACCATTGTTTGTAACTTGTAAATTACTACGCATTATATTTATAATTAGAAATACACTATCTACAGTCATTTAACAATGTCCCAAATCAAATATTCCACTTTCCAACCATATTCATATCAACAACCTGCAAGTTCTATAAGTTCTAATGTTGAAGTTGACTGTGTTAATGACATGTGTTTAGATAATGAATCTGACGAATGTTTAGATAATGAGTCTGGTGAAAATTTAGATAATGAGTCTAGCGAACATTTAAATAATGAGTCACATGAATTAGATAATGAGTTTGATGAACAATCAGATGTTGGATTTGACAAACAAGTAGAACTTTATGAAGGTATGTAAGCATTTATAGCTTTGTTTTTAGGTGTCAAATAAAGATGAATTTTAAAACTTCGTGTTTTTCAGGACAAACTTTTCAAACTATCGAAGATGCACATGTTGCAGTTGAGACTTTCACACATTCAAATGGATTTGGAATTAGAAAAGGCCGTGTTGAAAAAGATCAAAGCAATGGTCATGAAATTTCAAGAACGTTCCTATGCCGTCACACTGGAAAGTCGTTATATGAAAAAAAATCATATAAAACTGAGGAGTCAGAATCATGCCGAACTGATTGTAAATGGAAAGTTAACGTATATTGGAGCAAGTGTTTAAGTAGATATCATATATCCACCTTTACAGATGTTCATATCGGCCATACTCCTGATCCAACCACTATTAAATTTATTCCAAAAAACCATAAACTTACCAATAAAATGTTGGAAGATATTAAATACTATACGATTGTTGGAAAGCTTAATGCAAGTTCACAATACTGGCTTCTTTCTGGAAAGTATAATGTCCTAATCCAGTGTCGTAATTTTTTTTTTTTTTTTTTTTTTTACGATTTAAGCATACTTTATTTAAATCTACAAGTTAAAGTACATATTTACACAGAATATTAAGTCTAATAGTTATGACACTTGCAATTACTTCTTGCAGTATTAAGAAGCTGCCCCACCTTGCTTGAGTATACCAGCACCAAATTTCATAAACTGTTATTATATGAAGCCAATTAGCAGCCTCTCTTTTCTTTGTATTTTCTATATTAGTTGCTTGGAAGATTTCTTCAAGTGTACTAGGTATGGGTTCATTTCTTGCTCCTTTAAGTGATTTATACGTAGTTTCCTAGATGATTTTGCTGAGTGGGCATTTTAAAGCAAAGTGTTCTATCGTTTGAGTAACGTAGGGGCAGTTTGGGCAATCTCCCAAGTTGTTTTGGTCAATATGAACTAAGCGGTAGCCTAGTAGAAGTGCTCTATGAGTTAACCTCCAGAAGATATCTTTCTTTTTATTTAGGATCTATTTTGTTTTTAGCCACTTATAAGATGTATGACTCTTGTTTTGGTTGTCTCTGTTTTCATGAGGTTTTTCGGTTGTTTTGTACCAGCTTGATAGAGCTCTTTTAACTGTGAATTGTTGTCCATCTATGTCGTTTATTATAATTTGTTTGAGTGTCCATGGCCAGGAGTGAGTCACACTGATCCTACCCTTAAACCTTTTCCAGGCTGTAACATAGGGTTTTCAGCTGTCTGTCCATCCTCTAGTTCTGCAGTGTACTTGAGATAATGCTTCTTTAGGAGTTAGCCTTCTTTTGTTCTGAAGCATTATTGTTGCTTTTTTCCTCTCTGTTATAGCCCAAAAGGAATTACTCGAGAGAAGTTTGATCCAAATTGATAGTAGCCTAGCATCGAGCATATCTTTAAGGATTGGCGCTGATTACCCTCCTTGCTCTGTACTGAGTTGAAAGGTTGAATATTGCGGAAGCATTCTTGAGTTCTTCTTTATCCAATTTATGATTAAGGTATTAATTTCGTTTAGTTGTTTTCTTGTAGGAGGTAGTAGGTAGGCTAGGTACTATATTTTAGAGATAAGTAGTGTTTTTGATGCTAGGATTTTTCCTTTAAATGAGAGGTTTCTCTGTGAGAGGTCCTGTATTTTATTCTTGATTCTTTTAATCATCTCAGACCAAAGAGTCTTTGCCAGATGTCCTTCTATATCTACAGTATAACCCAGGATAGTAAAAGAATCTTGGTCTTCACTAGAAAGCTTAAACATGTTCTGGTTAGGTAATTCAACTCTTCGGGCAATGTTCGTTAGTGGGATTAGAGTAGACTTAGCCTGATTGATGACGGCATTTGAGGCTCTTTCGTATTTTGTTAGTATCTCTAGAAGTTTAGACCAATCAGATGGGGAACTAATTCCTATTGAGAGATCATCTGCATAGGCCGCTATCTTGAATGCTGAGTTATTGATTCGAATACCGTTGATGTTTTGGTTAATTGCATTGATTAGTGGTTGATAGCCAGTACATACAGAAGAGGGGAGAGAGGGTCCCCCTGTCTTACTCCTCGTTCCACTCTAAAAGGCTCAGAGATCATTCCAGAGTCAATGATATGTGCTTTTTGTGTAGTGAAGAGAGAGCTGATTATGTTTATAAACCTTTGGTCAAAGTTCATTTTTTCCAGAAC